GTCACGATGTAACAGCTAATGACAGAATTCATTTCATAGACTCAGAGTCGACTCTCACTTTTGAAAGACAATAACTTTATATACGGTGCACTTTCAGATATAAATCTTTGCAGGATGTTTTCATTCCCTTAGAGCTATATTCCACACTACATGAACTTCATTTTCAAAAATCCATGATAGGTGCTCTTTAACTAAATCATAGAGTCAATGATTTGAATTTTGTGTTTCATGGAGGAAAGAAAGTCATACAGGTTTGGAACAACATGAGGGTGTAAATAATTCATTGATTTTTCTGTTTGTGTGATCTAACCCTTTTAGATACTGTTTATCCAGTGTTTCATCAGCCCTTTTTATAGCCTAAAGGGATTTGTTATTCAAAGTGATATAAACCTCTTTATTAGTTATTCAAATGCATATTACTTTGGTCTTTATTATGACTCATAACTGCGACCCAGAGTTTGATTTATGTCTATGTAGCACGTAAGCATCTTAGGGGGCAGATTTTGGCTTGTTGAATAAAATCTCCTGGATAACTGAGAAAATGTGGGAGGGAGAAAGTCACAGAGAGAGAGAGAGGCGGGCACATATACTGTTGCCAAACAGTGTTAGTAAATGTAGAGATTCTGCAAATAGCTCCGGGTGGAAAATAACCTTTTGCTGTGATCAGGAGGCATCCTGTGGTACCAGAGCCCTTTTCTTAATCCTTATATGAAAACTGGCAAAACTGGTTTCTGATCAGCCATGTTAGCTCGTCTCTCAATGTGGGCCAATGGCCTGAGGGACGACCAGCCAATCCCACAGGCACATTTGTCCCGGCCCTGGCCTGAAAGGAGGTCACAAAGAGGGGGTGAAATTCAAGTGCACCATTAAAATTAGAGGGGTGCAGAGATGCATACCAAGGTTTTAAATACCCAGAGGTCTTAAAGTAGGTGTACACAGAAAATGGTGGGATTTGAACAGAGGGAGAATGCAAAATAGAGAGGGATTTTTCTCTCATTCTTGATTGCTTCGTATTCTGTTGTATATGTACAGTCTGAGACCACATTGAAAATTGGGAATGATTAAGCCTGCACAAACAATAGAAATCATAATTTAAACAATATAATTATATGAATATAATAATGTTCATCGTGAATACACAAGTAATACAAAATAAATAAGAAAGATTTGAGATTCTTAAGTGTATACCAAACACCAAAATATTCTGAAATTCATATTAATTTTTCAATTCATGTTGATGGGGAGTTTTTTTTTAAATTATTCTTTAAAAAATATGAAATAGTAGTGGTGTCAGACTTTTGGACTCCACTAAAAAATGTTTTTTTTTTTTTATTGTTGTCTCCTATGCTCACCGATGCTATTTGATTAAAAAAAACAGTAATATTGTAAAATATTTTTATAATGTAAAATAACTGTTTTCTATTTAAATATATTTAATGCAATTTATTCCAGGGATGCAAAGCTGAATTTTTAGCATCATTACTCCAGTCTTCAGTGCCACATGATCCTTCAGGAAACATTTCTTATTATCAATATTGAAAACAGTTGTGGTGCTAAATAGTTTTGTGAACATTTTAAGGCAGATTTGACGCAGCTTGAATGGTGTATTTATCATAAAGCGTTATGGATTTGGGACCGTGAGGTTTCACATTCTGTCAGTGGGGCCTCCATAGCCCCACTGTCTGTCTCTTACCCCAAATAGATGCGTCTAAAACTCCCTCACACTTTATCACTTGCTTTGCATGCTTCACACTGTCTACATGGACTCTACAATGATAGTTATTATGTGGCGATCGGAAATTGAGGTCGATATGTGTCAGAATCAGAATCTGGGTAGAAAGCACCTCTTTGTCCCCCAATGATAAGCTATTTTTGCACTGGTGGCCAGACTATCCCAAAGCATCTGGCCTCTTGCATTTGAAATCAGGTTAATGATTAAAACAGACCACCACTTTGTCTAAGAAGGGTTTAACAAAGCAGTAAACATCTCAATCCATCATGGTCACAGGAAGAAACTAATTGATATTGTATACCCCTTTTCCACCAAAAAAAGAACTGGTTTGGAACTGGTGCTGGTTCAAAGTTGGTTCGGAGTTGGTTCAACTTGCGAACCGCTTCAGAACCTGAAGTTCTGAAGTTCAGTTTTTCCACTGACTAGAGCGCCCAGGGAACGACGTCGTTACGTCACTGTGTACGTCGCTAGAAACGCTTGCAAGTAACATTACTTTGGGATTATCTCTAACTTGTGTACCAAAAAGGGTTTAAAAACAATTGAAATATGCAAGTCTTTTAATCTTTTCATTTGATATGTACCCCTGTCTTGTGTCTTTTTTTCTTTCCATTTATTTGTTCTATATTGTGACTGTTTTCTCCTTTGCTTATAATGTCTTCAATAAAAAAAATACCAAAATAAAAACGCTTGCGTTAATTTTAAGCTTAACAATTACAAAGGTAGACTCCATCGTGTTTTTGCAAATGTTTCTCCTGGATTTGCGATCCTTTATTATGGTCATAAAAGATGTTTAGAACACATCTAAATCCGCCCCAGCCCTCGACGTAAGCATGACGTGGTAAAAGAATGGTTCTAGTCCAGCAAAGAGTTGGTGCCACTTTGGAACCAGTTCTCCTGGCCAAGAACCGATTCTTTGGCTGTCAAAACACAAAGAACTGGTTCGCGCGCAGGCACTGGCTCTGAACCGGCTCTCAAAATGCTTTGGTGGAAAAGGGGCCATAGAGAACTTTCTCTGCAGAACACTTAGCTATTTATTTCAGACATCCTATTGGTGAATCAAGACTCATATTTTGGAGGTAGTCCTTACTGAAGAATCAAGTTGGACTAATCCCCTGCATTTTAGAGAGTTTATTTTGTGCTTTTGATGCTGGGTTGCGTAATAGTTATAGTAATAGCTCTGAACCGACGGGGAAAAATCCCTAATGCCTAATGCATACGCTGCACAGACTCAATCTGGCTTGTCTGTGAGAAGAGGAAAACAGTGTGTGTTGCAGCACGTTGGGGGTTTTGAAGGGATTTGAGAAGCAGGTCACCTCTTGATAACTAAGCTTGTGTTTCAGCATGATGCGGGCTTCATTAAAGCCACCCGGAAGCCAAGCCTATCATGATCCCAACACAACATAAACTTTTACTTATTCTAGTTTACTTCATGATCATTTCCTGTGTTCATGATTATTTCGCTTCGAGACATATGGAGACTTTTGCTCTTGAGAAAATGACCCTTGTAATCTTGTGTTTCCACTAGTTTCAGATCTCAACAATGTCACATTTTAACAACATTTTATTCAAATTAGAAATATTTAAATACTAATATACAGTCTAAAATTTCAACTTTTTTGTCACACCTTCCAATGGTCAGTGACAAAAACAATTACAGCCATAAGTAAATTTTACCAGCAATGAAATAAAGCTACAAACGTTATTCAGACAAGAGCAATGAGTGATTGTTCTTTGTTGTTTGATTAGCATTAAAAACACAGACAGTAGCAGGAATATTATCCTGCTGTCTCTTTAAGAGCTAATGCACAGATCCAATGAATACTTTCACACTTGCGTTTTATTTCTCAACTTTTTACTTTAGTTAGGCATAACTGATTGTGTATGAGAAGTTTTAGCTCAAAATACCCAACTGTAGGGGTGTAAATCGGACAGTTAATCACGATACGATACAATATCGATTCTCTCAGCCAGCGATACGATATTTGCCGATACCTCAAAAAATTCTCATCGAATTCGATTCAGGGCTATATCGATCGATTAATCGATATTTAGATATTATGTGCCAAGCCCAAGTGTATTAACTCATAATACATCCAAAATATATTACATGAAAGTTTAATTAAACTCTTTGAAAATTGCACACCGTCTACCAATTGGGACATTTACAAGTTGTTTGTTACAAGTAAAAAAAAAAAAAAACATGATGAAAATGAACAAGGACGGAGTTATGTTTTTGCAAATGAACTCTTCTGTTACATTAAAGTTCATTGAAAGGATTATATATATATATATATATATATATATATATATATATATATACACACACGAATATATATATATATATAAGCTACGTTAATCACAACAACAAAATTTATCTAACATAAATAACTGGCTTAAAACCTTTTTGTGTTTGGTGAAAATACTAAAGTGCCTAAGACTTGCACAGCATAGTCTATATACATATAAACACTATAAAAGTATATAAATTAAAATACTAATATATGATAAGCTCATTATATATAAAATATAGTATTATATATACTTTATTTAGTAGAATAGTTTATTTATTTATTGGAGTGTAGGTCTTAGTGTTCTATGTCTGTTGTGTGCTGAGTAAGAGGGATGTGTTCCTGTGGTCTGTGCCCTCCGACCAATGCTTTGTCCCTCTCCGCTTGTAGAAGCAGGATTTGGATTTGACAAAAACAGGGGGATCAGCAGCACACTCCATAGTGCTATTTAGGCACAGGAATCCTCTACCCTCCATACACACAGATACATGTGTGCACACATGTGCACATACGCACAACCTCCCTCCCTCTCTCCCTATACACAGCTAAAGGCAGACCACATCAGTAAAAGATAATGCATCCATGTTTCAATAACCCAAGCACAAGCATTCAGCAAACCACTCACACCTGACTTTAAACAGTACTGGGTGTGTTTAATGTTTTAAATATATGTTTGTGCATATTTCACGATTTCAAGTAAGCACACTTTTTACCGCAAAAAAAAAATCGCATTTTCAAAACAAAGACAATCGGTATATGTGTGAAAATTAAGTATTTGTGCGCTTTGAGGTTAGTAGATTGAGTTCACAATTAGTTTAATGTGTAAACCTAAGGGGAACTAAAGTTACAAAAGTGAAGCATTCAGAAAAGTAAAGAATCATTTGTAAGAGTATGTGGGTATGTATACATATACATTTTTTTATGCTGTAAAAATGATGTATGCGTTTACATTTTTCACTTTCTCTGCCATGTGTGTGCAGGACGTCCCACGCAAGGACTAAGAGTGAAGCAGCAGACCAGGCCGCACTTGCAGGATGTCAAGAATCCGACTTGGCCAGAGCTGTGGCTTATGAATTATCTCCAAGCTTCCATCAACCAGGTACAGTTTATATACTGACGAAATGTTTTACTTTCCCACACATACCCTGCAAATAAAACAATACCCATGATGAAAGTCACCAGATATTAACCAAACACCTGTAATTAAAACCTCGCAATAGATACTTTCTCTCCACATGAAACTAGCTCAGTGGAGCTCTGTTGAGGGTAGAAACAAAAGAGTTCAAAGGCATGAATGCTTTTCTCTGGGTTATGAATTTGATCAAGGTTTTTTGACAGTGAAATGACATATTTCACTGACATAAGGCTTTTTTTGCTACTGTACCTTTAAGATTTCTGAACTCTGTTATGATTGACATTCATCAAGGCATTAATATGTAAATATTGCCAGTCATGTGTTAATGTACTCAATAACATAGCCATTTCCAAAAGGATATAATTTTTGTATTTATGAAAAAAAAATATATATAAATAGGTTTTATATAATATTTATATAATTTTAATATTTAGATTATATAATTTATATATTTTTTTATTACATAATATGGGATTTTATACTATATATATTAAATATTTATTAAAATGATAAATGAAATATAAATACAGATAAATATTTTATTATTTATCTATAATTTCTATATCATAAGATATAATAAGCAAAATGGGTCTTTTGAAAAGAAAGAAAATATGATATGCATTTAAATGTTATACACACACACACACACACACACACACACACACATATATATATATATATATATATAATATATATATAACATTTAAACGCATCTTATTTTCTTTCTTTCTTGTTAAAAGATGCATTTTACATTTAGTTTTATTAAATGCAGTAGGACTGGGGAATGAAACTGAATGTTCGCATATCTCGATATAATAAATCGTTCTATCAAATCTTTTCATTTTAATTACATTTATGAATTTGACAAGTGACCTTGGCATTGCAAGGCATTGTTTTAAGTAATGCATGATTTGCAACTCGGAGTTGTTGTTCTGTTCAATAAAGTCTAATATTTTGGAACTTCTTTCAGAGATTTCTTCCTAAGGAAGAAACTACTTTAGTTTTCCCCAACATCATTAATGAGCCTCCTACATTGGCAGTCCTATAATCAAAACCAATAAAGTTAACTCAACATTACAGAGCATTAATATTAGTAGACTCTTCCTCAGTGATTGTTCTAGTTCCCTTTAGAAAAATTTCAGACAGCAGCCAAAGAATGTGGTCCATATCAAACCGAGAATGTTCTCTGGATGAGGAATGTAAGGCTTGTCGAGTGTGTCGTGCGTATTGCACATTGCTATCAGTAAGCGGATTCAGATAAGAAGTGGGCATGTCAAATTACAGCTCTATTGTGGCCGCTCACCTCTCATGGAAAAGGTCCCAGAAACACTTCTCGGTTTTCAGAAGCAAACCCCACACAAACACATGAACTCCTGCCAGCTGAGCACAGGGAGGTCAAGGGAGAAAGGTCCAACTCACAAGGGGAGGGGCTGGTAAATAAATTTCTGCAGATCTATAACTGGAAATCACCTTCAAGAGGAGACACTCATGTTGGACAGGATGTGACTGAGCAAATGAGTCATGTCTTACAGGTACCGGGGAATGTTTGCGAGCGCCGTTAGGGAGATAATATCTTAATTAACTGCCGTTGCTCAGAGCTTACTTTTTGTTCTACCAGTTATTTTTACACTCTGGGTGACCCTATTTACCCCCTTTTTTGTCATTAAACCACAAACTCCATTATTTGTGAAATCTAATGCCAGACTGTTAGAAACACCACCTTATTCCGGCTTGTTCAGAGATGAAGTGAAACTGGTTTTGTAAGAATTTGTAACGTTAGATTGTGTCTATTGAAAATGAGTACACTCTTTCTATGCAGAAGTCTCTTCTGCTCACAGAAGCTGTATTTATTTCATAAAAAAACACAGTAAAAACTGTAATATTGTGAAATATTATTACATTTTAAAATAGCTGTTTTCTATTTTAAGATATTTTAAAATGTAATGTATTCCTGTGACGCAAAGCTGAATTTTCAGCATCATTACTCCAGTCTTCAGTGTCACATGATCCTTCAGAAATCATATGCGTTAAATATGCTGATTTGCTGCTCAAGAAACATATGTTTGTGGAAACCGTGATACATTCTTTTCAGTATTTTTGATTAATAAAAAGTTCAAAAGAACAGTAAATGTTATACTGTCACTTTTGATTAATTTATTGCAGATTATCTTTTTAAAAAAACAAACAAAAAAACTACTAACTAGTAAAACTGGTAGTTTATGTAATATATTTAAATTTGAAAATGATACATTTACATTTTTGTTGATGCATAGAATTGAGTTCACTGTAAACATGTTGTGTCAAACTAGATTCATTCAAACAGACAAGTTTATTTTGATACTAGTGCTTCTGATAGTTCATTAATCCAAGGGAGGATATAATTTGTTAATGAGCCTATAATAAGTGCCACTAGATTTAATGACTAACGCACTTGAGGTCATAATTGCCATGTGTTTATTTAATATGATACGTTTTCAGTACATACCCTGCATGCTAAAACTAACCAGACATTCACATTTCATGAATGCAAGTGGCAGAACTCTGTGTTAGCAGCTCTGTGTGTTTATGTAGGTGAGGTTTCTTTTACAGAACTCATACTGCCCATATGTTAATTAGACATTCCTGGTTCTGTTTACTCATGTGTGTTGCTCAGGCCTCACAAACATTTTTCCATATCATTCATCTTCTTTCCGAGTTGTAAATACTCATAGAGTTTACTTGAAAGTTAAACAACACTTTCAGTGCAACACAAACACTGTATTGCTCTTCTTTGTATTTCAGTATTAAAGGCCACATATCATGCAAAGTCCACAATTTTTTAAATGCATTTTGTTGTATATTTGGAGTGTTTATACGTACAGAAAAGATGAAATTATTCTCTTCAGGTGCTTCATTTATATCTTTATATTCTGTTTTGGTCATATTTTTCAACCTGTTCAGATTTTTCTGTTCTCTATTGCGTTTTTTGAACAATTACGTCACAGTATTTGCAGCGGAACTGCCAAATAAGGACATTGACTACCGGTCCAACACTTCGAGCAATCCGCCATTATTATTTCTCGCTCCGATTTTGTAGTCCAAGCTCAATGATGCAGAAGTTACGATAGGGCTAGTCAAAATGTTCGGTTGTTGGATGTAGTGACCTGAAGCACTTCAAGGATTCCCACTTCAACAACCTCCGCCAGTATAAAGAAGGGTTTGCCGATCGACTTCGTCTGAATGAGGGGAAAATTCCTTCTATCATTTAGCTGCTGTGTTTTCTGACGCTTTCTAAACATAAGTTATCATATTATTATCAAGACAGATTTTTAGTGGTAAGGTCAGACCGCAGTAATTTATCTTGTCAGTGTGCTTGTTTTAACAAGAGAAATAGTCGACTTTCACTAATAACACAACATAGTTAACTTACATACCACTGCATCCATATGAAGACGTTTTTCTGCAGGTTTGTCGTCGTCTTTTTCAACTCGCTCGTTCTGGCTCGAATATGTAAGGCTTGATGGACAAGTCTTCCGTTGTTGACATTTTGTTAACGTGTGAATAAAAATGTTCGTAAAAGTAATCGTATATCTCTTATCAAACTACAATAATGGCCGAACGCGGGGAGTTGAACCGACCGTGAACTCAGCGACCTGGAAAGCGGGCGAGGAAAGACGCAACTCCTTTTTATTTAAAGGGGCCGCTTCGAAACGACTTGCTCACAGAAGCACATCAGAAAAGGGGTAGAATAGGGGCCTGTGGAGCTATAATAATGAGGAATTTAGACCCAAGCATTGCAGTTATGCTTTATATAGACCACAAATGTATGATTTATAAGTAAAAATGAATGATTTAAAAGCATGATATGTACCCTTTAAAGTAGGTTTGTTGTTAGCATCAGATTGTCTTATCAGCCATGATTGATTGTACCTTTTAAAAATATAATGTCAAAATAGCACCATGACATATAGATTTGCTTGTTGCTGATTAGATTTGGCTTTTAGAGTACTTGTGTAGTACTTGTGCAGTACTACAAGACGCTCTGTTCTTTATGACAACTCCAATAACAGCGGCAAACATTTCACATATTTAAAAAAAAATTGACATTGGATACCTAGAAGCTGTGCTGAGCGTAACTTACACACACACACACACACACACACATAGTTATTGCGCCTTCCCTCCTCGCGACCGACTCTACAAAACCGTTCAAAACCCTTAAAAGCAACAATTATTAATACTTACAGGTTGTGATTCATAGGAGGAAGCTGATCCATATACACTGAGTAAGTAAGTTACTGAGCCCTCCTTCAGGAACAACCGCTTGTGAATCCACATTTGAATTCATTTATGTTTTTGAACGATTCGTCATTAAAATGATGAGAACACAATCGGGCTATACTGTTGTGGTATCGTTGCAAATATGAACTCTAACCACTGATTCTTCACATGCTCGTCCCTGGTAAATGAAAATAAAGTGGCTGAACTATCTTTGCATTGTTGAACACAGCGTCTTCTCGACATGATGCTATGATGAAGTATTTGAATGTGTAGACTTCAAGTTTACACTAACGTCTGCGCGCGCAGTAACTGGGCGCGGCCAGTATGTATCTACGTCACGACGAACCAGCTAATGACTCGTTTTAAAAACAATTCATTTCATAGACTCAGAGTCGACTCTCACTTTTGAAAGCCAACAACTTTATAGACGGTGCACTTTCAGATATAAATCTTTGCAGGATGTTTTCATTCGCGATTTGATGAATAAATAGTTACATATGCATCAAAAGGTTGGGGTCAGTAAGATCTTTTTTTACAAAAGATTTAGATATCAAATAAATGCAGCACAACTGTTTTCAGCACAGATGATAATAAGAAATATTTCTTGAGAAGCAAATCCACATATTAGAATGATTTCTGAAGGATCATGTGACACTGGAGTAATGATTCAAAATTCAGCTTTGCCGTCTCAGGAATAAGTTACA